TTTTTTTAGAATCTGTCCCTCCTTTCAACAACTTGTGTTCTCTTGTTTCTCTTCTATTCTCTCTCCTTTCTCTCACTTTTCTTTTGTTTTGCAAACCTAAAACCTATTAGGATTCAAGACTGATTACTGTCTTGATCTTCTACTATTTCATACGGGAGAGAGTTGCTTTGGGGGAAGTTTGCTTACCATTTATTGCTTTAGAAGAGCAGTTGGCTGATGTTTTGACCAAAGGTGTTCCAAAAGGAAAGCTGACACACTATATAAGCAAGTTGAGCCCACTATTGTAGATGCTTTGCCTAACACTATTGAGCCTCAGCCTTCTCTTCCAGATGACCTTGATATCCCAATTGCAATCCATAAAGGGAAGCACCGTTGTACTTCATCCACTGCCCCTTGTATCTCCTAGTTTTTTTCCTATGATAGTCTCTCAGAATCCAATAGATCTTACCTGTCATCTATTGCTGCTATTCCTATTCCTAGAACAGTGCAAGAAGCTTTATTGATACCTGAGTGGATGGAAGCAATGAAAGTAGAGATGGATGCTCTTGTTAAGAACAATACATGGGAACTAGTTGACCAACCTGAGAGGAAGAAATCTGTTGGGTGCAAATGGGTGTTTATAGTGAAATATCATGCTGATGGTTCTGTAGAGAGATATAAAGCCAGATTGGTTGCAAAGGGATTCACACAAACTTATGGCATAGACTATATRGAAACCTTTGCACTAGTTGCCAAGATGAACACTATCAGAGTCCTATTCTCTATTGCTGCAAATTTCTCATGGCTATTTTTTCAGATGGATGTCAAGAATGCATTTCTCAATGGAGATTTGCAAGAGGAGGTGTACATGGAGTTACCCCTTGGTTTTTACAGTGCAGAAGTAGGAAAGAAGGTATGCCGGCTGAAGAAGGCTTTATATGGGCTGAAGCAATCTCCAAGAGCCTTGTTTGATAGGTTTAACTAGCTGTGGAAAGATTTGGCTATATGCAAGCTCAATCTGMTTACACTCGCTTCTTTAAGAAGACGGACTCTTCCTTAACTCTACTTGCTGTYTATGTGGATGACATTGTAGTGACAGGAAGTGATATTAGTGAGATTGACTCTCTTAAGTAACATCTTCACAAGGAGTTTGAAGTGAAGGACTTGGGGGAATTGTGCTATTTCCTAGGAATTGAGGTAGCTTGATCTAAGGATGGCATTTTTGTCTCTCAAAGAAAGTATGTTCTTGACTTATTGGAAGAAACTTGAAAGTTAGGAGTAAAGCATGCAAACACACCCATTGAGGTGAACCATAATATAAGTGCAGAAGGTGGAGAACCTCTTGAGGACAGGGCTATGTACCAAAGGTTGGTTGGGAAACTTCTTTATCTTTGCCTAACACGACTAGATATTTCGTATGCTGTCAGTGTTGTTAGTCGGTACATGCATTCTCCTAGGACTACTCACCTTCTTGCGGTAGAAAGGATATTTGCTTACTTGAATAGATGCCTAGGGAGAGGCGTACTCTTCAAGAATAGTGGTCATATGAAGAGGTTTATACAGATGCTGATTGGGTTGGATGTACGGATGACAAGAGATCTACATCTGGGTATTGTGCATTTGTAGGGGTAAATCTTGTTTCTTGGAGAAGCAAGAAACGAAATGTTGTTGCTCGCTCCAGTGTTGAATTTGAATACAGGGTCATGGCCAATGGTGTCGCAGAAGTGTTATGGTTGAGATCTTTACTTGATGAATTTGGAGTTGACTATGAGAAACCTATAATGCTGTATTGTGATAATCAARCTGCAATTAACATTGCCCACAATCCAATACATTGCCTCAGATATTAGCTAGCTGATCTCTTCACTAAAGTAGTCCCAAAAATCAAATTGGWGAYGGACTTACGCAAGTTGGGAATGAGAAATATCTACTYCGAACTTGAGGGGGAGTGTAGAGATAGTCGTTAGATTTATTAGTGTGTGTGGTCCCAGTCCCACAATTTGTTTGTTTCTTTATATTTCAGTTGTGGTAGTTGGGCCGGCTTGGCCTTATTTATTTCTTTTGTAGGGGCTTTAAAGTAATTCTGTTTCTTGTAAAGGCATAAGTAGAAATATGAATTATTGGGGTGGCCAGAATGGTGGAACCACACCCTTTCTCTCTCTTTTCTTCTCTTCTCTTTTCTCTTCTCTTCTCCTCTTCAATTCTAGACTTTCTTTCTTCTTTCTAAATTTCACCAGAAATACAATTCTTTTTATGTTTCTTTTATTCAAGTTAGGACAAGTGGCACCCCTTATAAATAAGTAGGACACCTCACAAGAAAATTAATTAATATATATTTAATTCTTTTAGGGCCTGCTGTCTCTTTAAATGGGCTCTAATGCAGGCCTATTAAATGCTTATTGCATTACAAACAAAGCCTAACTAACTTGGGGCCTGTTGTTCACTAAAGTGGACTATAGGCTCCTTTCTTTCCTAAATTATTTCAGCCCATCCATAGGACTGAGTGGGCTTAAAAAGTTAAGTTGGAAAGAAAGGGGCAGTTGTTAGAGATTGATTGGGAAGCAGAATTCTCTAACAACTATAGTGCTATTCTTCCCATTCTTCCTCCTCTTCTTTACTCTTCTTTCTCCTAAACACAGTTTACTAGTTTTCAGGCCTCTTTCTTTGTTTTTTTTTTTTTTTTCTCTACTGATTTTTCTTCTTTTTTGTGGTCGATCACAGCTATGAAGTTGTCCTGTAAACTTTAAGAGTCAAAAGTACATGATAGAGTGAGTTCAAGCAAAATTTAAATGCATAGAAGTGTAAATATTTATTACACAAT